AAGGCCTGAATTCATTGCAGCACTCGAACACAGACTTAAGTAAAGCATTTGAGTGCGTTCATCACGTTTATCTAGACAGCCCTTTGAAGGATGCCTCAAAACTGTCCTCAAAACCATTTCACTGCTCGTAAGGACAGTGAACCTGCAAATATGAGCTCAGAGCATACATGGCCCCACAAGACATGGCTGCACAAGCCCAAACACTCTAGCACTATAGGCGTGTGCTGTTTGTAAGTATGTTGGTATGGGGCAAGATGTGTCCACACAGACTGTTTGCAGGTATTCTGCAACATGATTGTGAGGCCCTGAGGTGGCCAAGAGGTGAATGCATCTTTGGGCGTTCAGAGGTCCCAGCAGTTTCTAAAGGCTCCACTTTAAGAGCCATGCAAACAAAGTGGATTTCAATACTGATTTTAGCTGGAGGATCTAGTTAGTTGCAGACTGAAAAGCCTAGCACATGGAACCCAAGGAATGGAGAATACTATGGGCTTTAAGAAGTGCTTTTATTTTTCACATTTGGTAAAGATGATAAAAGTTGTTCATGGTCATTTTTATCACCTCTTGCTAGGATTACAACTCTGACAACAGTAAGAAGACTTGCACTGACTTTCATTGGGAACTGGGACCACCTAACTGTCCTAGGTCCTGTAAGATATCATGTATTGGCTTTGCTGATATTGCAGGTACTGTGAGAGTATCTGCAGGCCTCAGCTGAGAGTGGGGCCCTCTGTAAGACCCACAGAGCTGTCTCAGATCGTGGCAGTGCTGAGCTCAGGATGGGACACGGTGCTCAGTGAGTGGAAACCTGGCTTTTTGGCATGTGCTATGGACTATAAGCAGCAGGCAGCAGCTGCCTTCTTGGACAGGAAGCTTTTGGAAACAGGTGATGTAAATTGTGTGCAGCAGAGCTGAAACAGCTGTTTTCTGAGTGAGCAGAACCTTATGTTTGGAGTTGGAAACCTGGTAGGGTGATTTGTGTGGGATAATTCTCCATAGCTGGTTTGTAGACATTAGAGGAGAGGTCAGTTATTAACATATCAGTCGTCATCCAGTCTTGCAAACGGTCGTGTA